AGCTAGGTGGCACAGTGGGTAGAGCTCCAGCCTTGGAGTCAGGAAGACCTGAGTTCAAATCCAACCTCAGCCAGTTGCCACTTACTAGCAGTGTGACCCTGGGCAAGTCACTTAACCTTGCTCGCCTCACCAAAAAAAAAAAGCAAAAAACCAAAAACAGAGAACCAATGAATTAAAATGTCCACCGATTTATATGTATTTCAAAACTTTTATTGATGTCCTCCCCTACCCAGCAAACAGTTCCTCATACCAAAGAATAAAAAAATGAGGGGAAAAAAAGCAGTTTACCAATACTTGGACTGAGTTGGATATTTACATGCAGTCTTCCACACCTCTATTCCCCTACCTTTATGAAGGTGGTACATGTGCACGCGTTTTCTGGGAGCAAGCTTCAACAAGCACTTACTATTGTGCTAGATGGTAGGGATACAAAGACAAAATGAAAAAAAAAATCCCTACCCTCAGGGAACTTTTGGAGTCCATTGGGGGAGGGGGGAGTAAGAAGTCAACACAACATGTATCCAAAGTAAGTATGACATCGTCTTCTTTGGTGGAAGGGGAATCCTAACCTTGGGGAGAAGGCACTGAATAGGGAGTGATGCTTGAGGGGGCCTGGAATACAGCTAGTGATGCCAAGAAGCAGGTGAGGAGGGATGATGGCATTTAAGTATGGAAGACAGTCTATACCAAGGCCCATGCGAGTGGGCAGGGCCAGTAGGCCAGTCTACCTAGAAAGTCGAGAGTGTCATGGAGAGCGATGTGAAATCAGTCCAGAGAAAGGGCTGGAGCCAGACTGTAGCATCCTCTGCATGCCGGAGGAGCCTCTGTTTGTTGCTCAATACAATGGTCACGGGAGCTCTTTGTGCAGAGGAGTGTACATCTAAAAGCTCTGTGAAAGGCAGGGTAGAGAGGGAATCCTGGGGGGCAGAGACCCCACTGTGGAGGCTACAGGAGAGGGGGTAAGGACCTGACTTGAACAAGCGCAGAGGCAATGCACACGGGGAGAAGGGGAGCAACACGAGATGTCGTGAAAGCAGCACAGATAAAACCTGGCAAATGACTGGATGGCACGACGTGGGGGAAAGGGATGATGGCTCCATGGCTGGCATCCTGTGTGACTGGGCAGGTGATGATACCCTTAGCAGACACAGAAGTGTTCAGAAAAGGGTGGGATTCCAAGGGACGATGATGAGCTGTTTTGGACAGTACAAGCTACCATGGGACACCTAGGAGGGGAGGACCAGCAGAGGGGGTGATGGGGGAGTCACCTGTGGCAGCTCAACATCTGGCTTCTTGCCCGTTTCCGCCAGCTCTGTAACCATTTCCCTGAAGTCTCTTTTTAGTGAGGTCCCTCTGACCTTCCTCCCCAGCTTTCAGGGGATGCTCTCCATTTCCTCCTGGCCTTCACTTTGCTTCAGCTGCCGGGACAGCCAATTTTCCCCCTAGTCCAGCTTCTCTAGACTGTGGTGTCAAGGGCTGCTATGGCCCCATGGCATGTACCTCCTCACCGCCTCATGTAAGAATCCACATATTTCTGGAAATTTTTCCTCAAAAATATGTCTATACGTTGTGTGTCCACTTCTGCCCATTCCTCTTCCTCCTCAGACAGACTCTCCTGAACTCCTACTAAATTTCCACATAGTTTCCAGATCCTGCCAGAGTAACGAGAGGATCTCTCAGTCATAAGATAATCAGATTTAGAGTTGGAAGGGGCTTTAGATAGTATTGAGTTCAAATCCCTTATTTTACAAAAAAGGAAAATGAGTCTTGGCAAGGGGAAGTGATTTGGCCAAAATTAAGCAGCGGGGTGGTGACAAACCAGCCTACTCGTTACTAATGGAAGAATGAAGACTCCAACTGCTCGCTGTCTTAAGGAGGGAGGGAGAATAAAAAGTCACGGGGAGACTTTCTTACACTGGATTTCCAGTTTCAGTACGTCAAGGTTATCGGAGGAGGTGACGTTGACCAGACGATGCTGCTCCCTGCTACACCATGGATGAGTCCCTAGGGTTTCTCAGTCAGGTGGACCTCCACTTGGGAAAACCTCCACTGGTTTCCATCCTCCCAGTGAGGTCACACTGCCCTCCCATCCTACAACAGAGGTGGCCAGGAGAAGACAGATGCTACAAAGATAGGTGAAGGGTTTATTCAGTTAGTCCCAGATAGGAAAGGACAGAGGGGCTCGAATGGCTAGGAAGGGGTGCTGGTAATCAAGTCACTAAAGGTCTTTAAGTGGAGAACAGACAGTGTGGAGGAGGCGACTTGGGCACAGGTAGGGCTGGCTTCCTTTTCGATTCCGAGATTCTATTAAGTAGCTTAAAGTGGGCAGGTGGGAGGTTTAATAAGCTTTCTAAGGCTGAGTTGAGCAGACAGACCCAGGTTCACGTCAGACCTGGAAGAAAACCTTGGTCTAAGTGCCTCTGCCACTTGGAATCTCCAAAGGCCAACACTTCCTTGGAAATCGCAACCAATTTGTTTGAAAGCATAGTGGATGAGGAATTCTATTTCAAGTAGGCCCAGGACTCAATGTGCTAGTTTCAGGCCCTTTGGGAAAGTCTGCAGCCTAGCCTAGCTGTCCTTTGGGGCTCTGGGTCATGTCCAAGGCAGGAAATTACAGTGCAGGAGCAGTCCCAGGAGCCAGTAAGAGAGGAAATAGCCCAGAATGGCCCGTGTGATTCCAGAGCAAGATCTCCATTTGCACAGAAGTCTCCAAATTGGATTCTTTGGGGCCCCTTGTCCCAACAGGGAGCACACGACAGGGGCCTTCCCAGGCACAGTCTCTTGAGTCCACAACAGGGGCTCCCAGTCCTGAAGCAGATGAGCTGGAAACCAGTACACAATGGGAGTAGAGGAGCCCAAGAACCTGGTGAGAACCTGGAAACCACAGGAAGGAGGGGGACCCACACATTTATATAAGCTGTAACCATCTCCAACCGGCCCTGCTTCCGCCCAACATGCCTCACTGCCTCTTGGGGCTGCTGCTGCCCCATGTCATATACTGCAGATTTATTACCCTGGAAGGGAAACTATGGAGCTTGGGGACTGCTTTATAAAGATGTGTGACATCAGTCAGGCACCCTCAGTGTTGGAAATAAACACAGCTACAGCCTAATCACCACAATAACGGGTCAATCAATATGAAAAATCCCACGGGGCCCAATTCCACCTGAGGTCCAGAACATCCAAGTTGGGGGGGGGGAGAGGAAAAGGGGGAGGGAGAGGAAAGGGGGACAAGGGAGGGGAGAAGGAGGAGGGAAGGAGATGGAGGAAAGAAAGAAGGAGGGAGGAGAAGAGGAGGAAGGAGAGAGAAGGGGAGGAGGTGGGGAGGATAGAGGAGGAGGAGATGGAAAGGGAGGACAAAGGAGGAGGGTGAAGGGAGAGGGAGTAGGGGAAGTGGGTAGGAAAAATGCCTGCAGTTCATCCTTCTCCCTCTTGGGGGTGAGGAATCAAGTCTCCAATTGGCCGGCTTCCCTGGATATCTCTTCTCTGGCATTCACTCTCCTAACTAATCCACCAGCAAACACAAAATGCTACTCTGTACTTCCCCAGCCTCTTGGGCTGCTGATCTCAAAGACCTTTACAAATAGCCATTGTGAGCCTTGCTCAGACTAAGGCTGAGGAGGGGTCAACTGGAGGGCAGTAGGACTTTCTCAAGACTGCCGTGAAGTCGAAGGCAAGGCCAAGGCCTCCCTACACTACTTTTGAACCCAAGATAGGGCCTCAGAAGAAATGCAAAGGACTCTGGCCTTGGAGTCAGGAAAGAGTTGGTTTCAATATCACTTCGGACATTTACTGGGTAAAAATGGGTAAGTCATAACCTCTCTGAGACTTGGCTCTCTCCTCTGTAAACTAAGGGGGCTGCACTGGATGGCTTCTGAGGTCTAGCTCTAAGTTCTTATGAACTTCTCTGAGGCTCGATTTTCTCATCTCTAAAATAGGGGTGATAATACCTGTAGTACCTACCTTATAGGGCTGTGGTGAGGCTCAAATGAGAGCATGTACGCAAAGTGAATACACACGCACATGCATGCACTTGCACACATGCACATACACACACACGCACGCGCGCGCGCACACACACACACACACACACACACACCCGGACCCTTGCTCCCTGGCTGACAGTGGCACATATAAGGCCTGTTACATACTACAGCTGAGGCAACTGGCTGGAGAGTCAGAAGGCTCATAGAGATCACCTAGGCCATCCCTTCATTTTGAGTGACTTGCCCAGTGTGGCAGAACTGGGAACCAAGTCCAGATGCTCAGACTCCACATGTAAGGTCAGCACAGCCCCAGCCCCCAGCCCCCAGCCCAGCCCAGCCCAGCCCAGCCCCTTACCTGCACGTGCATAAACAGGGCTCCGAACAGCAGCAGGGCCGTAGAGTGAGCCACGTATACAAACACCTGTGGGCTGTGGAATCCAGAGGGAGGCTTCCCTGGCTTCTTGTCACCCCTGCCCTTGCTCCTTAGAAGCCCAAGGGTGAGGCAGTGCTGGAGGTTGGCAGTCACATAGGTCCAGGCTGCCCAGGCCCCAAGCATCGCCACTGGCCCCGCCAGGAGGAAGTTGGGCACCTGCCGGAGCTCAAAGTACCTTAAAAAGCCTACATTCCAATAGACATCCTGGACATAGGTGTATATAAGGGGCAGGCGCCAGGTGCACCAGCTGGGCTGATCACCCGCTGGGACCCGGTAGCCCTTGTCCTTGGCTAGCTGTACAAAGGGCTCTGGGATGAGGCGGGGCAAGTGAGGCTGGCAGAACTGGCTGTAGGCATAGAGCTGGAACAGAGCAAAAGGAAGGCCAACCCCAAGGGACACCAGCAGCAGAAAGGCCACCAGCCTTGGTAGCCTCTGCAGGGCCCCACGAAGGCTCCCCGGGGAAGGAAAAGACAGGAAGTCTCGGCACTGGGCATGCAAAAGGAAGCCAGCATTGATGATCCCATTGGAACGCACGCCAGTGGCAAGGGCAAAGAAGAGCGTGCTCCAACCACTGCGGCCCCTCTCCAGCTGGCTCATGGCACGAAAGACCAGGAGGGCAAAGAGGCTCTCGGAGTAGCCTGACGCCAGGAAGACATTGGCGGGGCTGAGGCAGAAGAGCAGAGCAGAGAGGAAGGCCAGGCGGCGGCAGCGCAGCACCAGGCAGCCCAGCTGGTAGAGGGCCAAGGCCGCCAGCACCGAGCACAGACCGTTAAGCAGGGAGACCGTCAACAAGAGACGACTGTGGAGGGTGAGCAGCCCCTGCAGTGGCCACAGCAGCAGCTCAGCTCCAGCGCGCAGGGCCAGGGGGAAGCCTGGGAAGAAGGCAAAGCTGTGCTCGTAGATGTAGCCGTGCTCCGCGATGAAGAGGAAGTGTTCCGCGTCCCAGCGGGACAAGCCCCCCAGAAGCCATTCCACAAGCCGGTCCCCGAGACCGGCAGGCACCAGGCAGGGCGGTGAGAAGGCATCTGCAGCATGATCCGGGATGAGCGTGTTGAACAGAGCCTGTGGAGGGAGGCCAAGGGGGCTCAGGTGAGGAGCCTCCTCCAGCTAGGAACTCCAGCCCCCAAGGCATTCACAGCTTTTCGTTCCTTAATAAATCTGTAGTGATATGTTTGTTTTTACATCATTTGCATTTCCCACTGTGCTCCTTTCCCCATTCTCTTCCAGAGAGCCACCCCATATGAAAATGAATAATAATAAAGCTAGCATTTGTCCCAGGCACTTTACACACAGTATCTCATTGTGGCCTCCCAAAACCCTGGGAGGGAGGGGCTTTTATTATCCCCATTTTACAGATGAGGAAACCAAGGCAAGAGAGGTAAGTGACTTGCTCAATCACACAGCTAAACCAGTGAACTCTAACCACTGAGCCTCTGAGCTGCCGAGATGTTCCAAACCCACCTGAGTCACTTACTAGCTCTGTGACCTAGGCGAGGCAACCTCACTTGACTTCTGTCTGCTCCCAGCAGCAGCCCCTGGAAAATGACCCTACCCACTGTGTATGGGGCAGTGGGATGAGCCTCCGAATTGGGGTCATCAGAGACCAGGGATCCAATCCTGGCTTTGCTCTTCACTGGCTATGTGACCTTGAGGGCGTCATTCCATTTGTTTCCTTATCTATAAAGTGAGAATGATAAGACTTGCCCTGTGTCTCTCACAGGGGAACATGAGTCATTATCAGCCCAGAAATGGCCATGGTCAGGACAGGCCTTTGTTAGCTACAACCCTCACATGGAGCCCATTCAGGGAGGGCCGGAGCAGACACTGACCTGGAGGAGCAACGTCAAGGAGCGGCAGACCACTGCAAACCTCAACACCTCTCTCTGGGACGGCTCCCCAAGCTGCATCCTCTCAGACTAGGGCATTCAGGGCATCTGAAACCACCGAGAACACGACAGCTGTGAGACATTCGCATGGGAACCAGAGCTACCCAAGAGTCCACAATGGGAAATGCGTAACACAAGCTGGGCTCTGCCTTCTTCTGAGTACTGTTATAACTCTGAGTAAGTCATTTTACTTGTATAAGCCTCAATTTTCTCATCTGTAAAATGGAGACAAGACTTTCACTACCTAGGGTCACAGAAGTTCACAGAATTGGTGCTAGAAAGAATGTCAGAGGTCATCTAGCCAAACCCCTTCATTTTACAGATGAAGAAACTGAGGCCCACAGAGGTTAGACACACTTGCCATAAGTCACCCAAGATATAAGCACCCAAGGCAGGGTTTGAACCCAGGTCCTTGGAGTCCACAAACAATTCTCTTTTCACTGTACAATACTGATTGTGGGGAAAGTGTTTTCTGCTAAAAAAAATGTGAATTATTAGTTATAGAAATCACCACTATCATCAAGACACTACCTGGTAGCTAAAATGATACAGCAGAAGCTGTCGAGCTGCTGTGGATGGCCAGAATACAAATGCCTAAACTACAAATACAGACCTAAAAAGATGCTAGAGAACATACCCAAAGATCTAAATGGAGACTAGAACATCATCACAGACTGAACTACTACCCACAATTGCCCAGTCAGTCAATAAGCATTTATTAGGCACTGTCAAAACATTTTTCATAGCTATAACCATCCCAAATATTCAATCTCTAAACTATATGAAACAAAAAGTTTTCAAAATATAAAGCCCTAGCCAAGGAGAGCAGGATGAGGCATGCTACCCCCGTTAGACTGTCATTGGAGCTGAACAGAGGATGCTTTACTAACAGCCCACAGAGAACAGGTTTCTATCCTAATTTTCCGATTCAATGACGAAAAGCAACTTTTACCTACCTGTGCAAGAATATGTGGAACATCAACATCAAATACAAAATGATAACAGGAGGGAACAACTTACCCCAGAAGCCCACTGAAAAAGATGAGAATGAGATGATGATGACAGTCATGATCCAACCCACCAACCCCCTAACCAAAGGGAAAGCTTATTCCAAGCCTCACAAGTGCTATACGGAAAGGGCACCTGGACACAAGGCTGGGCACAACAGGGAGAGTACTCTTCCACCCCACCCAGGAAGTCAGGGCCCTGCCATCCTGGAGAATCTTGAGATTCTGGCACTCATGTGCTACAGACCTGAAGCACTGCCACCAACCTTTTAACTATCCCCAGATGGACTGGAACCACCCCACCAGACACTCTAAGAGATGGAAGGGACTTTCAATTCAGTTCAACAAAGGTTTATGAAGTCACTACTAGATGCCAGGGCCAATGCTTGAAGTGCTGGCATCGTCAGGGACGATGACAGAATCTCACGTGCATAGAGCCCTTTAAGGTTTGCAAGAGGCTTTACATACATGAGCTCATCTGATCTTCACAACCACCCTGGGAGGGAGTTATTATTATTATCCCCATTTTACAGATAAGGAAACTGAGGGTGGTAAAGGTTTAAGCAACCGCCCAGGTCACATAAAGTGAGCATGCATGTGTGGGTGTGGATACACGTGTGTATGTGTGTACTGGAATCTGAACCTCAAGTCACTCTTGACGCCAAGCCCAACACTCTCTCTACTGTGCCACAGTGTCTCTCTAGTTATAATTCAGACCATGCTCTGCTAGGACCAGAGGGTTTTACAGCTGGAAGGGACTTCAGAGTTCATCTCTTCCAATCCCTCACTCCCCAAAGCGGGAAGTGACTGTCCACAGTCAGAAAGCTACTAAGGGGCAGTTTAGTGATCCAAATCCATTGGCTTTTCCACAATATCACTCTCTCTCCCAAAGAAAGAAAGACAACACACAATTATAATGCAAGAAAGAATGAGACCAGTGCAAAAGAAAGGGGCAGAAGCACAGAGGTGCAGGGACTTTAGTGACCATTCAGTGTCCTTTTACAACATATCTGACCAGAGGCCATCTAGTCTCTAGTGAGGGAGGACAAACTAAATCCCAACACAGCCCATTCCCACTGTGTGCTAGCCTTAACTCCAAGGAAGTTGTAAGGGAAAACCCCCTAACATCAAGCCTAAATGATCTGTCCAAAAAGTGACGGAGCTAGAACTCAACCCTGGGTCTGCAGCTCAGCGCTCCTGTCCTTAGATTACCCCCTGCTTGGTCTTACCTGTGGTCTTTTCTCATTCTGTGTTGATGTGTGGGAATAGACCTAATTTTGGGAGACCAGGCCCGGGCAAGTGAGGAAGGCCTCTGTACTCTGAACTGAAGTAAGAGACAGGGATAGGGAAACGGGCTGGAATTGTGATTTCATTAGCATAGGGAACTGGGGGAGGAAACTCTACCAATGAAAGCTGGTACCTTCCTCTATCACTTACAGTCTTCAACAGTTACCTGGGATACTGAGAGGCTAATTAAGTGACTTGCCCAGGGTCCCACAGCTAGTACGTATCCCAGGTAGGATCTGAACCCATGTCTTCTTGGCTTGAAGGCTGGCTCTATCCACTATGCAACACTGCCTGTGACACTGGTTCTCCACTAATGCCCTTCTTTGATGCTCCATCAGAGCATGCAGGCTACCCTGGGTCCTTGAGGGCTTCTGGAATTATATTCTTGACTGTCATTAAAATATTCATCATAAGATTTATTTGTAATATAGCAAGAATCTAGAAACCACCAACATGTTCAAATTTGAGAATGAAGGACTCAATAAACTGAAGGATAGTAATTAGTAAAATGACAACTCTGAAAACCCCCCAAAATATGGAAATATGAAATGATGCATAACAAGGATAACGGGTTCACTATAACGTACAGACTATGGCCATACAATAACTTGTCAAAAGGAAGAAAACTTTCTTAAGCACAGGCACAGGAAAAAGATCAGAGGAAATCAGGGTGTCGTCACCAAGGACACTGGACTTGGGCAGCTTAGTGATCATTTCCAGATCCTGCCCCCCTGCACTCTGGACATCTTCCTCCCACCAGTGCTAAATGAATGTGAATTACCATCATCAAAAAGGGGACACAGACGCTCCCAACTGTTCTCTCCGCCACTTCTCCCCAATCCATCTTCCCCACAGCTGCCAAACTATTCCGAGAATTGAGTGACCATGTCACTGCCCTGCCTCAGAAGCTCCAGCAGCTTTCTACTGCTTCTAGGACCAAGCTAATACAGTCTCCTGCTTGGTATTGAAACCTCTTCAAAATATGTCTCAAGCCCAACTTCCCTGACATTTTGTACATCACCACCTTTCAGGGACTCTCTAGGCCAGCCAACCTGATCTGCTGGCTATTATTCCTCACACACAACATTCCCTCTCCCGTCTCCTCCATTCCTCCAGGAACCAAGGCCTCTCCTCCTTTACTTTGTACATTTTATAAATACTTGTATTTTTTAACAAAATAGAATGTAAACTCCTGAGGGCAAGACTAGTTTTATTTTTGTCTCTGTATTCCAAGGGCCTAGCATACCTGGCACATAAGTGTTTGCTGCCTTACATAAAGTTTATGTGATTATTATTTTAATCCAAATGTAAACATCTCATATTTAATGGTTTTATTTAGGGTTTAATTCCATATTTTATTCTACATTATTATTCTATAGAGAAGCAAAATGAACCAAAAAACTGTTTTGCAAAATGTATCTGTGTTTGTTGAGGGTTATTAAGATTATAACACACTATTATAAAAACTGAATTTGTAGTAAAAAGTGATTTTTTAAAGCAAAGAGCCTAGATTTGCAATAATAATAATAGTAACTACCACTTATTTAGTGCTTTAAGGTTTGCAAAATGCTTTTTATATATAATCTCATTTGATCTTCAAAACAACCCTGTGAGGAAGCAGCTATAATTACCCCTATTTTACAGAGAAAACTGAGGCCGATGGGTTGACTTGCCCAAGGTTACACAGCTAAGTGTCTGAGGTAAAATCTGAACTTAGATCTTCCTGACACTAAATCCAGCATTCTATCCACCTAATTTGCAGAAAGATGAGCTAAGAGTGAATCCCAGTTCCACCACTTAATTGCTGTGGCACCTTGGGAAAGTCACTTAATGGCTCTGTGCCTCAGTTTCCCCACCTTTAACATGGGGCTAATAATGCCTGCCCTACCTCTGTTCTCATGAGTTTCGGTTAAGAGAACGTAGAAGAGAGCGTTTTATAAAGTACCAAGCGCTCTACACCTCCAAGGAGGTGTCACTGTTACGACTCTTTGGGGAAGCTCATCAGCATTGCCAGCCCAGGCACCCTGCCCATCCCTGCTTCTCACAACACCCAAATTCCCAAACTCCCCAAATCCTTCCCAGCAAAAGAACAAAATAAATGGCTTGGCAATATGCTATGAATGTGTCTCCATGCCTACATATGTTTCTACATCTGTTTTTAGATTGTGACTGGGGAGAGGGAGGGAGAACGACACACTGCGATCCTTGTTGTGTTAAGGATGCCAAATGCTAAACAGCTAGAGCGCCTCCAAGAGCCCCCGAGCTCCCCAGGGAACTCCTCAGCCAGGCGCACTGTCCTCCTACTCCAGCATCTCCCTTTCCTGGGATGCTTTCACATCAATGCTGGCAGGGTCCTTACAGATCATCTAGCCCAAGGGTTCTTAACCTTTGGAGAAGTCCATGGTCCCCTCCTCAGAGTATCTTTTAATGCATAAAATAAGATACGTAGTAACACCAAAGAGTAGGGTAGAGAGGTGGTGCAGTGGATACAGTGCTGGGCCTGGAGTCAGGGAGACTGGAGTTCAAATCTGACCTCAGACACTTAATGCCTGCCTTAGTGACTCTGGGCAAGTCACTTAACTTGCCTGCCTTAGTATTGTTTGTCCTTTGTTCTTGAAGAGGACCACGACATCAGTGAGGTGATGCCATGACATGCAAGTGAATTGGATTACAGTGAGGGAGAGCTGTGCAAAGTCACCAGCCTCCCTTTCTTCTCTGGAGCCATCTGGGTCCAGTTGCAAGCCTTAATCTGATGGAGAAGAAAATGGCAAACCACTCCAGTATCTTTGCCAAGAAAACCCTATGGATAGCATTGGCAGGACATGGCCCAAGGGGTCACAAAACAGTATGGCATGACTGAGTAACAAATGTCAAAGAATCTAATTACACTGAAATAGTTATTTTTTTTTTCAAGTTCATGGACCAACCCCAGATAAAGAAGCTCTCATCCAGCCCAACCCTCTAATGTTCTGAATGGCAAACGAAGACCCAGAGGCAAAAGGGATACGCTCAAGTTCACAAAGCTAGCAAGTAGAAAAATTGGGACCTGAAATAAAGTATAGTATAGGGGATAGAAGAATAGGCTTGAAGTTGGGGGAGTTCCATCTCCACCACTTAATAGCCATGTGTCTTTGAGCAAAGCATTTCATCTTTCTGAGCCCCACTTTCCTCTTCTTTTAAAATGGAGACCACAATGCAAGCACTAGCTCCCCCTCAGATGAGATAAAAAATTTCAAAGTGCTTTGTAATTATAAAAAGCTATTTCAATGTAAGTTATTATCATTACTATTATCATTAGGCGTCATACACCTTTCCTCTCACTCCGAATTCTCCAAAGTAAACTAAACTAGGTCCAACATTCTAAGGAATTCTAAGGAATCAGAAACAGGCAGGTGCTGGAGGAACACAGAAGCAGTGATCACACAACTACAGCCTGGCCATCTGCTGTACTGTTTGTAAAATTTAAATTGGGTGGGGAGGAACACCACCACTCAGCAGTCCTGGCTAAAGTTACTAATACAAATTCAGAGGGGGGAATTCTTGCAGATTCCTGGGAATAGAAAAAAAGACTTTGTCCATCTACTGGCCACCAAAAGAAACTGAACTGGCCCAAGGCAGAGAATCACTTTTACAATGCACACTGGTAATTTCTCCAGCTATGAGCAGTACCAATGGATCCTTGGAGAACTGTGGGTCAAGCCCTGATAACTGGAACAGGAAATGTAAGAGTCTAAGGTGATCAGCACTTTGAAGGTGAAGAAAAGCTGTCCCTCACGGAGAAATCACAAGGATATATTAACTATGTGCTTATCTATCTAGTGGTTCGATTTTTTAAAGATACATAGACTGTGAGAACTGCAAAGGGACTTAGACAGTGTGTGCTGGAACCAACCTAAACCACTCAACTCCTGACTGCTAACTTTTCAGTACAATAGGACCACACTTGATTTATTGTTTTATTGATTGTTGAGACTTAACAAAAGTGTGAATAATGTAGATTAAATGTACAAGTGCATCCATACATTTTTTCCTCCCCAAGAGTCCAGTTGTTAAACATTTACAAGCACACCTCTGTAGTACTCTAGAAACATTGCTAATACTCAGCAGGAGGGCAGCTGAGGCTAGAGCTCGAACTGCTGCTGTTGCCGAGTTCTGTCTGACTCTTTGTATGGGGTTTTCTTAGCAAAGATACTGGAATGGTTTGCTATTTCTTCTGCCAGTGGATTAAGGGAAACAGACGACTTGCCCAGGGTCACACAAATAGTAAGTGCTGAGACCACATTTGAACTCAGGTCTACCTGATTACATACCCAGCGCTCTATCCACTGAGCCACCTAGCTGTCTCCGAGGCAAACAGAGATTAAGTATCTTTGTTAAGAAAACCTCCCCGCCCTCCCCTTACTCCTCAGCACTTTAAGTAGGACCAGGGTTAGAAATGGTAAATAAGTACTAGTTTAATTCAATCAAGTGAAAGAAGCCAGTGCTCCTTCCTTGGCACAAGGGGGCGCCTGCAGCTTGTTCCATCTCCATGAGGCAGGGAAGGAAGCAAGGGAGGGACTGAGAATAAGGGACTGGTTGGGTTCAGGCAAATTCAGTTCAAATGTGTGTGTCTGAAACCCCTGGAGAGCAGCAGCAGTTTGGAAATCCAGGAACACTGTTAACAACTGACTCTAAGGATTGAGACAGCAGAAAGACCAAGCTGAGAACGTCCCTCCTTATTTTTTGGTGCTCTACAATAGGTCTAGAGTTTTTTCCTCCCTGGCTCCCTGCCTTCGCCCAGAGGCCTAGGGGTGGGTGGGGGGGGATATTTTACCCACCTCAGCCTTTCTCTTTCCCTTTCTTTTCCCTCTACCATGTCCAGATCCAGCCACAGTGGGTGAATAGTACTTGGAGTCTACACCTAATAGAGACAAAAAAAAAAAAAGAAAAGAAACGAAAAGAAAAATTACTCCGTTGACATGACCTCATCATACTTGGGGCAAAATCATCTAGTTCAACCCCCTCATTTTACACATGTGGAAGATGACACCCCCAAAAAACGATTTTTACATAAGGTCACATAGGAAGTAGGGCCGTTGAAACAGAAATTAGGCTCTAAGTCCTCCTTTCCACTCTGCAAATCCTATCAAACTCTGGGCTGAATCACAACTTTCAAGCCTGGCAGACATCTCAGAGAACATCCAGTCCAAACTCAGTATTTGACAGATACAGAAACTGAGGCCTGGAGAGAAGCAGTTTGCCAAGATCACATCGTTAGGGAGAGCTTTTGAAACCTGGGTAGGATCTCGATGCAAGAACTCAAGAACTCCTAACCTCATGTTTTCAAATCCCTACTTCCAAAAAAACACGGACCAGATTAGTCCCTAAACTAGAATATCAAGAGATGTAAGGGACCTCATCGGGGAGCAAGCCAAAATCAAAACTGAGCAGGCAACCCCTGTACAAGACCCCAAGACAAAGAGAACACACTATCTTCATTCACTCAATAGAAAAGCATCAAGTAATCTAAGACTATGTACCAGGCACTGAGCTAGGGCTCAGAGAAAAGACAAAACCACAAATGTTCCCCGGGCCCTAGGGAGTTTACAGTCTACTACTGCGTTCCACGGTGGGATAGCTAGTTTTTAGAATGTTGTTCTTTGTTTCTCTTCACAAGAGTGGCCCTGCTTACCCTGGCTACCCCTTTCCCCAAGGGGGGCATCGAGGAAACAGCCTTGGATTTGGAGACTGGAAAATGGGATACCTATACAGAATCCTGTCTCCACATGGGTAAGCTTCGTCACCTCTTTGGAGATTTCCCCATCTATAAAATGAAGAGACTGGACCACACGGCCTTGGAGGTCCCTCCCAGCTCCACAGCTAGGATGCTAGGACTGGATGTCTGCTCCAGCTCTAAGGTGCCTTCCAGCCCTCAAATTCCCTGTTTAAGGGGCCTTCCGGTTCTTCTCGCCTCCGTCTTAGGCTGCCTTTTAGCTCCCCCAATCCCCTGTTCTAAGGTTCCCTCCGGCCCTTCCATTCCCAGTTTGTTTAAAAGTCCTTCCGGTTCTTCCATCCTATGTTCTAAGGTTCTTTCCGGCTTTTCCAACTCCACACCACCCCGTTCTAAGGTTCCTTCCGGCCCTCCCATTCCCTGTCCGAGTCCTTCCGGTTCATCCACCCGCTGCTCTAAGGTTCCATTCCCAGCTCCTAAGTTCCTTCCGGCCCTCCCATTCCCTCTTTAAGAGTCCTTCCGGTTCTTCCACACCACCACCCTTCCCTCGCTCTAAGGTTCCATTCCCTTCTCTAAGGTTCCTTCCTGCTCTCCCACCCTTAATTCTAAAGTTCCTTCTGGCTCTATAATCCAGTAGTCTTTTCTCCCCCAGAATGGGGGCGGGGGCGTCCCGGAATTTTGTCGCTCGCTTGCTTCGAGGGGCGGGGTATGAAGGAGGCGATCAGCTTTGGCGCGGGGGTGGGGGGGTGAAGGGAGAGGAGGCGGGGCTCCTCGGCCCTCTACGCCCAGAGCCCCCTTCCTGCGGCCCTCGGTTCGTGGTGGGGGGGCGCGGCTCTCGGCCAAGGGCTCCAACCCCCAACCTCCCACGCGAGATAAACTCCCCGCCCACTCCCGGCCTTCTCCCACCGCTTCCTTTCGGACCCACAGTACCTCCATCCGGGCCCCTGAAATGGCGCCTGCGCTCTAAGTTCTGTCGACGCCAGCCCCGCCTTCCTCGTGCCCAGGCTTCAGGGCAGGGCCCCGCCCCTTTCCTCACCCTTACTCCCCCGCTCAGCCCGGCGGCCATGTTGGCTCTGAGGGAGCTGGGTGAGAGAGGGCGGGAGCTTCCCGTGGAACTCATCTGTCCTTGAGTCTCTGTTCTAGCCTTCCCGGGTCTCGCACCCAGAGCCCCAGGGAACCTTCCTGCCCCTGCCCAGTCTGGAGGCTCCTCACCCCCACCCCACAAAAACTGATGTTCAGTCGTTTTTCAGTCATGTCTTACTCTTCTTGACCCCATTTGGGGTTTTCTTGGTAGAGATACTGAAGTTGCTTGCCATTCCCTCCTCCAGCTCATTTTACTGATGAGGAAACCGAGGCAAACAGTGTTAAGTGATTTGCCCATGGTCCTATACTAGGAAGTATCTGAGGCAGGATTTGAACTCAGGACTTCCTTATTACAGGCCTGGTGCTCCAGCCACCGTGCAACCTAGCTTCCCACAAAATAAAAGCTGAATGCAGGACTATATTGTGGATATAGTGAAGAAACAGGGACCGGGAGTCAACAACCATGGGGCTGAGCCCTGCCTCTGGTTCCTGCGCCATCTGAAACCCAGTTTACCAATGTGTAGATGAGGGGGTGGTTAAATAGATCATCTTTCAGTCCTCTGCTTGCTTTGCCATTTCATGCTCTGAAACCCCCCAGTTCTTGTTATTTCATGTTCTAAAGGCCCTCCCAGCTCTGACATGCTGTGTTCTAAGGCTCCTTCTAGCTCTGATATTCTCTACTCCAAGGCCCCTCCCTGCTCAGACATTCTGTGTTTTAAGGTTCCACCCTAGCTCCCTTTCTGATATTCTGTATTCTAAGGGCCCTCCCAGCTCTGACGGTCTCTGTTCTAAACCCTCTCTGAGCTCTGATATTCTCCACTCTAAGTACCCTTCCCCGATCTGACATCCTGTGTCCTAAGGGCCAAACCCAGACCTAACATTCTATGTTCTAAGGCCCCTTCTCAGATCTGGCATCCTGTGTCCTAAGGGCCCCCTCAGCTCTGACCTTCTGTGTTCTAAGGCCCTCCCAACTCTGACATTCTTGTGTTCTAAGGCCCCTTTCATTGAAATGGCTTTGGAGTAACAGGGCCTGGGTTTAAATCTTGCCTCTTATTTCTTAACTGTGTGACCATGGGCAAACCACTTAACCTCCCTAGGCCTCAGTTTCCTTATCTGTAAAATGAGCTGAATCTCTGAAGTTCTTTCCACTTCTCAATCTCTGATTATATGAATTCTACGTCCTAAAGGACCTTCTACCTCATCCCCTCCCTTATGTCCTAAAATCTAGAAAGATTCCTCCCTGGCCCTGCCCCTCAGAAAGGTAGGTAATAGTATCTGACCTCAGCCATATCAGGCTCTTTTGTCTCCCACTTGAAAAGGAGGATTCTAAGACTTCTTTTACTGAAGTCACTTTGTAGGAAACATTTAAGGAGTAACCATAGGACTTTCCTCTGTCAGAAAGAAGATTGCCTTAAAATAAATAAACATAGTCCCTGTGGGGGAAAAGAGAGGCAGGTAGGTAGTAGAGTAGTGGGTGAGTGCTGGGCCTGGAGTCAAGAAGACCCAAGTTCAAATCTGACCTCAGACACTAGCTGTGTGACCCTGGGCAAATCACTTAATAACCCTGTTTGCCTCAGTCTTCTCAGCTGTAAAAATGAGCTGGAGAAAGAAATGGCAAATTATTCCAGTATCTTTGCCAAAAAAATCCCAAAAGGGGTCATGAAAAGTTGGACACAACTGAAACAACTGAACAACCACAAAAATGGGGGAAAAGAGAAAGAAGAAAAAAATTTGAGGAGCCCCTTCCCAGCCCTATAACGGAAACTGGTGAAACAACCTTGTACTGGCCTTAAAGGAAATAGATAATAAATCCTTCTATGTTGGTGAATTTCTTGGGATCCTCAACCCCTCTGTGGTTTCAGTTATCTGCTTTAGAAAAACAACTTGGGCTTGTGTTGGGCCCTGTTCCAGGACCTGGCTAAAGAGTTTATCTTTTTTAAGTGTGGGGGTATTTTAGAATGAGAAGAAGGGGTCTTGATTCACTGTCTTCCCTAGCTCCAAAGGTTGTTCTCTGGAAATCTTTGGGACAGCAAAAAGACAGGACCCCGGACTTCAGGGGCCCTGAGATGTCAGGAAACCTGAGAAATAACATCTATTCACATTTCTATAGGGGGTTAAGGTTTACACAACTTTTTTTTTTTAATTTTTCACAATCATCTGGTGAGATAGGTAGTACAAATATTATCCTTTAATACCTAAGGAAACAGACTCAGAAAGAGAGGTTCAGTGATGTGCTCATGGTCATACAGGTCTTCTGACTCTTCACTGAAACATGTCACTGTTAGATATGGGAAAGAAGGGAGAAAAGGATGTGGGTTACTGTTTAGAATTGTAGACTCTCATAGAACCTTTGGGTTGGTCAGGACCCTAGAGATCATTGAGTCTAACCTTATTTTATAGGAGAGAAGACTGAGGACCAGAGAGAGGAGAAGAGGATGTGACCTTTTTCCAGATTATTTAGCGATGCCCCTTTTTAGATGGAGTGACCTGTCTACAGGAGAGCAAAACTGGGTTGTGCTTGTAACTAAATGCTTAGGCTGCAGCTTGATTTATATTTAATATGAAACCAAATGTAGCATAACGGAAAGAGCATTTGGCATCATCTCAGGATACCTGAGTTCACAGCCCATTTCTAGCGCTTGCTCCAACACTTTGGGCAAATTATTTAACCTTCCTTACTTTCCTCTTCTACAAAATGAACCTAATTGTGCTTGTATTACCTATCTCAAGGGATTGTGAGGAAAACATTTTGTAATCTTAATGAACCATAGTATTGTTAGTTGTTTAGAACTGTGTTTCTTGCAGCATGTGTTCTGTTGCTACTTTCCCAACTCCTTACAAAGGATGTGTCAAATTCCCAGAGCATGCCTTCTGTATCCTCTCAGGGATCCAGGGATACCCTGAGAAGTTGGGGAGCATCTTTTCTAGTGCCATAGCTCACAAGCCCCCACTGGTATGCTTTCTGCCATGATTACCAGTAGAGAATAATTTAATCAGCCCAGATTTAAGTAGCTTTTAGAAAGGATATTTACTAAGGTGATATAGTTGATAGAATCAATCAATCAATAAACATTTAAATGCCATCTATGGGCCAGGCTGAGGATTCAAAAAGAGGCAAAAGATAGTCCCTGCTCTTGAGTAGTTTACAATCTAATGAGGGAGACAGCATGCTAGAAATGTATTCAAAGCAGGCTGTATACAAGATAAGCAGAAATAATTAGCAGAGGGAATGTACTGAAAGTAAGAGGGATTGGGAAAGGCTTCCTGTAGAAGGCAGGATTTTAGTAGGGACTTAAAGGAAGCCAGGGAGGTCAGCAGTCAGAGCAGAGGAGGGAGAGCATTCCAGGCATGGAGGACAGCCAGAGAGAATGCCCTGAACTGAGAAATGACAGTATTTTGTTTATGAAACAGTCCAGTGTCCCTGAACTGAAGAGCACAGTGAAAGGTGTAAAGACTGGAATGGTAGGATGGGGCTAGGTTAATTTGAATGCCAAATAGAACATTTTATATTTGAGTTTATTGAGCAGGGGAGTGACGTGACCAGACCTGAGCTTTAGGAAAATCATTTTCATGGCTGAATGGAGGATGGATTGGGATGGGGAGAGACCTGAGGCAGGCAGACCCACCAGCAGGTTATTGCAATAGCCCAGGTGTGAGGTGAGGGCCTCCACCAGAGTGGTGGCAGTAAGAAGTGGGCATATTTGAAACATGGTTCAAGGTATATTAGGGCAAGGTGGAGAAGGGGATAGAGTTCCGGGCTTGGAATCAGGAAAACTCATCTGCCTGAGACACTAGCTGTGTGATTCTTCACAAGTCACCTAACCCAGTTGGCCTCAGTTTCCTCATCTGTAAAGTGAGCTGGAGAAGAAAATGGCAAACCACTCCAGCATCCTTGCCAAGAAAACCCCAAATGGGGTCACAAAGAATCAGATTCAACTGAAACGACTGAACAGCAGCAGCAGCAAAAATATTAGGATTGTCTAACAGCAGGTGAGGCTACGTAGCATAAATTTGTAGTGGGCCCAGTCAGAATGGTTGTGTGAATTTCTCCATCCTTGTTCAGTAGCATTTATGTAGAACTGAAGATGGTGATGGGTGGGAGTAATTCAAGGCTGAAGCTTTCCTGGGAATAACAAATGATATGATGAGGGGGCTAAGGATTCAAGAGAAGAGGACAGTGTAGAGTTGAGTTGGTTCACCCAGGAGACAAGATGGGGAGAAGAGGAGAGTGGCTAGTGCAGGGGAGATGGCCTGGGAGAGAATTGGGAGGTCAAGGCATTGGAGGTCACAGCGCAGCTGAAGAGTAGAGTTATGTGAGGGAAGGTAGAGGGAGAAGTGAAAAGCCAATAGATTACGGTGGGATAAGGGGATCTGGGAATTCTTGAATAGAGAGGTGTTGTATTTTGGGTGATGGACAGACCAATTGCATGACCATCTTTGTGTGCTGCTGAGGTGGACTGGAGGACTTGCTCTTGGGATGTGAATAGGTTGAGGAACA